CTCTTTCAGCATTGAAGGGTGGAAACTGCCAGACGTCCTACATCTTCGACCTACTCGAGCTCGGGCTACGCCATCTTCTACCACGCCCGCTGGCGGGGATGTGCTTATGACTCCCGAGGCGGCCCAACTCGGTGTGACGTCGTCTGTTGCGGCTCCTTCGGAACCTGTGGCCGGATCTGGTATTGTGGGGAGCGTAGACCCCTCCGATCTCCATCTCACTATCAATTCGGGATCCGGGTTTTCTAGCTCGGCTGCCGCCTCTGCAGCCCCATAGACTTAGGCATAGATTGCAGATTTTTTTTTTTTTTTTGTAATTTCGGATATTTCGGCAACCTTAATAATCTAGTGATAATCTAGTTACTGTTTTTTTTTGCCATGCAACTTGCCGCCAACGCCATGCGGCTTGCCGGGGCAAGTCCGCGCATGTGGGTTGCGATAACCCACATGCCCCATCTGCCAACGCCATGCGGCTTGCCGGGGGCAAGTCCGCGCATGTGTGTTGCGATAACCCACATGCCCCATCCGCCAACGCCATGCGGCTTGCCGGGGGCAAGTCCGCGCATATGGGTTGCGATAACCCACATGCCCCATCCACCAACGCCATGCGGCTTGCCAGGGGCAAGTCCGCGCATGTGGGTTGCGATAACCCACATGCCCCCTCTGCTTAATGTCTGTAATACTCAATGCAATGTGTGAAAATCACGGATATTATTAGCATGCGACACAATGTCGTCTACAAGGGAAATATAGGTCACTTACGATGCAACATACCACGGTAATGCCATGGGAGTTGCGTTATTCGTCATTCCTTGAGAGCTACTCTATCTACTAAAAGAACCTTCGCAGGTGATGGGTGTTCCATACGCGGTCCACAGTCCTTCCCTGCATTGTTTTGAGTTTGTAAGTGTTCTTGTGCACTAACTCCGCCACCTCGTACGGACCCTCCCAGTTTTTGGCCAGTTTGCCTCCCTGGAGCGGTTTGCTAGCTTCCCGTCGTCGTAAGACTAGGTCGCTGACCTGAAAACTGCGGGGACATGTCCTTGCATCGTGGTAGCGTTTTATCGCTTGTTGATAGATAGCAATCTTTCGTCCGGCTTCCTCCCTCCTTTCTTGTAGGAAATTTATTTCAACCCGCAGGTCCTCATCGTTTCGGCCAGGTTGGAATCGCGTGCTCCTACATGCAGGGGTTGTCACTTCTACTGGTGTGACAAAGAGCCAATAACGTCTTGTGACTTTCTGTTTCTTTATTTCAGTTTCTAGTCAATAAAAATACATCATTGTTCTTTTCTCTAACAAAATTGTCCGACCTACCGTTGAATGATGAACACACGAGATTCCCGAGTAGAGACGTTAGAGAAGAACCAAGATGCAATCCGTGCCGAATTGGCCACATCGAATGATTGATTTGCAACCATGGAAGCTTCCATGGCTAGGATGTCTAATCTCCTCGCTCTCTCATTCCAAGGCGGAGGGCACAATAATGCGAGTGCTTCATCAACTTCCATCCCAATGCCGAATTCAACCTCTCTTCCAGAACATGTTCAGCCGGACAACACCTCGCTGCCCATTGGAAAAACAGAAATTCCTACATTTGAAGGCACAGATCCGATTGGGTGGTTGGCTAGAGTGGAGCAGTACTTTGCCATTCATCACACCCGAGAAGATTTGAAGGTCCAAACAACATTCGTTAGTATGGAGGGGGCAGCTCTACATTGGCTCCAATGGCTACAACAACAACAACCCACTCTTACTTGGACTCAATTCACACATGACCTTTTGGAAGAATTTGGTGAAGAATTGCCTCGGCTCTGTTTAAACAACTTATCGCTCTTCGTCAAACGGGCTTGGAGGATGAATTCATCGCTGCGTTTTGAGCTCAAATTGCCCAAATTCCTGGACTTGCTCCTCACATTCAATTAGGGTTTTTTTTCTCAATGGCGTGAAACCTACAATTTTGGTGCGGCTCCGACCGAATGATGTGACAGATCTCCGAACAGCAATGCGTGTCGCTCGCACCTGCAGAATGAGAAATTGAATTTCTCTCCACAGGCCGGCTCCTTGGACGTAATCTACAAGAAGAAAATGCAGCCCTCTAGATAATTCCTTCACATAGTGGGTCTACTTGGTCTAATGGGCCTGGGAAGAATTACCAAACTAATTCTTTTTTGAATTATTCATAGCCCAAACCCATTCCAACCCAGTCTCAATTCTCTAGTAGCAACCAAACATCTTCCTATTCTTCCCAAACACAACATGCGTTTCTTGCTATGCAGTCTTCAGTGCGCAATTTTGGCACGTCAACGTCACGAGCTCCAACACGACATTATTCTAACAAAGAGTATCTAGACATGCGCGCCAAAGAACTTTGTTTCCGTTGTCAACAACCCCACAGTCCGCTTCATGTATGCCCGAATAAATCCTTGCAAACTCTAATTGCAGCAGAGGATGAGGAGGACGAAACGAGCGACGAGCCTGGTGTAACTGACGAAATCGACATCGGACAATATAAGACAGTCATTCCAATCTAGCCTTGGGGACGAGGCTGTTTCTTTGGTGGGTGGCAATGATACGCACCCAAGGGATTTGCTTAACTCAAGGGATTTGACAAGAATAAAATCAAAGGCACAATCATATCAACAATATCTCATTTTCTATAATTATTTATTTCCTAGCACTATAAATTAGAACCTCTAGATGAGAGTAAATAAGCCAATCTTTATCCTTAGTCTTTAAGCTTTAGTAGCTAGGCAAAAGCCTAAAACTCTTGTTGGAGAAAGTCTTGTGACTTCCTGTTTCTTTATTTTAGTTTATAGTCAATAAAAATACATCATTGTTAATTTCTCTAACAACTACTAAAAATATTAATAATATTAATACTACTAATAACAGTAATATTATTATTTGGTATATAAAAGCATTACATATAATTTACATACATAACGCATAACCTTAATTAATTTGTATACATTAATTATGTAGTGGATTAGTGGACTACAAAAAATATTCAATAATATTCTTTCCAAATATTTAATAATATTAATACTACTAATAATAGTAATATTATTAGGGTTAATAATAATATTAATATATTTATGGTTAATAATAATTAATATTAATATATTTCGGTTACTTTTTAAGTAGTGATTTTTTCTTAATATAATTTCATGAGATAGAGTATTCCACCTTAGTTGTTGTTTTTATTTGTGTTAGTCTTTAATTGCAATATGTTGGATCTATAAGTTGGCATACTTTGTAATTTAAAAAAAAAAATGGGTGATGCAAACTTAATAACTAAACATAATAATTATTTTCAAAAAGAAGAATAAACAAATAAACATTTTTGCAATTAGTCATGTCGTGAATGTTAATAAACAATTTATTATAACATTGAATAAATGTTAATATTCAATTAATTTTACTTAATAGTCTATAAATATTATCCGTGCATCGCACGGGATAATTACTAGTTTTAATTAATGGTAAGGATTGAATTTAAATACTCATTTATATTATGATATATTTAATACATAGGGGTGGTATAGTAATTTTAGTTTCTTCTTTGAATTGGATTATAATTGAAATACAATATGTCAATATTATCCTTATTTAGAAGGATTCTATAAATAGTAGGAATAAAAACAAAATAAATACATAAATAAAACGCATGAATAATATATCGTGAGCAACGGTCTGTGCTTACTATTGTGTGTGCTTACCCCTAATTATGTACGTTTTTTAGTATGCATATGACATACCCTAAACATGTGCCAAAACGCAAACAGGTGTGTACATTTTACTAAGCTTTCCCAATGTTGTGGAATAATACTGAGTACTGTGCATATTCATCCATGAGTGTGTGCAATAGATAAGTTAATTCCAGGAACAATTCCTTGACTATTGTCATTTATCAATTTTTTATGCTTCGATTTTTAATTAGGCCATAAATGGTCTATTGACTATTGATCTTTACCAATTTTCGTCCTTGACTTTTATTATGATGATAAATAGTCCCTTAACTATTGATTTTGTTTCAAATTTGGTCTTTTAATTAAATATCCATGTAATTTGAAATTTCCTCAATTTAATACATTGAGTTTATCATTATGAACAACTAAAATTTTTACATTATTACCCTTAAATTTAATGTTTATTAATATGATATTTAATTAGATAGAGGACCAAATTTATTTTTTTTTAAGAAAAATCAATTTTCAAGAAACCACTTATGATTAAATTGAAAATCGATGACTAAAATTGGTAAAAATCAATAGTCGAAAGATCATTTATAGCACCATTAAAATTGAAGAATATAAAATTAATAAATAACAATAGTCAAGGGTTTATTTATGAAATTAACTGAAAGATTAAATATTTTTGAAAAAAAGTCATTTTTAAATTATCTTTTGAAAGTCAATTTTTTTAAATGAATCTTTAAATTTAAATGTAGTATTAAAGGTTGAAGAATTATATTTTGGGTAAAGTTGAAGAATTATATATATTTATGATAAAAGATAATACTTATTAAAAATCTGATGAGTATTATAGATAAGGATTTGTCGTAAATATATGCAACATATTTTGCAGAGATATTCCCTCCCTCTATTCCCAAGATCTAGTTGTACTGGCAGCATTTACTCTCTTTCTATGTTGGTTAACCATTGACAGGGACTGAGGGGGTGATAGATTAGGATACCCTTTGCCTTTAATTTGCCTACGGAGTAGTTCTTTTCTTTTGCATTGTTGGCTGTTGCAAAGACACTAGAGAATAGAGATCATCGCCGCCCATTTTCTTTGGTGCTGGATCATTTAAGGAAAAGCCCTGTCTGTTTTCCAGCTGTTACTTCTGCGTATATATCATATTCATATTCACTTTTTCCAAGAATCTCGCTGCCATCCAAATGTGTATCATCACTATAAAAATAGTTGCAGACCCAGAACATAGCTTTTCAATTTTATCCTGACTTCTTTTACAGTTTCCCGGCATCGCCTCATTTTTGGGTTTCACTTTTTGCCAGAAGATCGGTTCTGACTGAATTCATTGTTGCTGCGGTTATTCGGTTTATTTTTTATCTGGGGTTTTGATTCTTCAAAGTGTTTGTCTTTTTGTTGAAGTCAAACTCTTTATACCCTTTCTGCGATCTAATCTCTGCTTTAGATAGCTAAGATTCGGTATTTTCATGCTTTTATGTACAAGATATGCAGCCTGATCAGCGGAGAAAGGTAAGAACAATTTTATATACGTATACATATTTACATGTATTTTATTTATTTATTTTTTTTTTATAAAAAAAAAAGTGGAGATGGTAAACGGTATTTTGGAGTTTGCATACAATTTAGAGCTGTCAAAATGGAATGGGCCGATATGGCCAGCTAACTCAACTTGAGTCACAATTACTTTCTTTTGCCATCTGAAGATGGTAAGAGATCAAGATCATGAGTTCGAATCCTTGCTCCCTTAGTTTGAGCAGATCAACTATGGATAACTTAGGTTTTCCTTCTCTGGTCCTTTATCGGCTAAGGTTAGAAAGCTGGGTTTACTCATACTCAAAAGATTGTGGGTTTCTCTCTGTCATCCAAAGATTGCTTTCAGCCATTAGGTATAGTAGGGAGAAAGAATCAACTTTATCACTGTCTAAGTGGCTTGGCTGTAGATCCATCTCAAAGTTTAGTTTACTTAGTTTACTTTGTGATGCATATGTGGAAGGTCGAAGGAAGGTAGTGTTGTGTGCATTTAGGTTGCAAATGGCAAAGCTGGTAGGATCTGTTTCCAAACATATGATGAATTTGTAAAACAAAGATTGATGTGTGGTTTTGAGGGGCAAATAATGATAATAGCTATTCCAGGTAGCATTTCTGGTGTCTCTTTGCCTCTCTTCCAAGCTTTGAATATAAGCATTTGGGGGTTAGGGGGAGAAGAGATATCACTCCCTCATTTTCTTTAATACATATTGATGACTTGAATATCTGTAACATAACGTTGCATTTGATTTATGTTTTTTTGATAATTCAGGCATCTGCAGATGTAGATTTCTTCACAGAATATGGTGAGGGTAGCAGATACAGAATAGAAGAAGTAATTGGAAAAGGTAGCTATGGAGTTGTATGCTCCGCATATGATACATATCTTGGTGAGAAAGTTGCAATTAAAAAGATAAATGATATCTTCGAGCATGTCTCGGATGCAACACGTATCCTTCGGGAGATTAAGCTTCTTAGACTTCTTCGCCATCCAGATATAGTGGAAATCAAGCACATCTTACTGCCTCCTTCTCGAAGGGAATTCAAGGACATATATGTAGTTTTTGAACTCATGGAGTCTGATCTTCATCAGGTCATTAAAGCAAATGATGACTTGACTCCAGAACACTATCAATTCTTTCTTTATCAGCTTCTCCGAGGATTAAAATACATACACACAGGTTATATGATTGCTAGTCCTACTATGGCTTTTCTTCATTTCATTGAGCATTCAATATATATACTTTGTACTATACTATTAACATGTTTGACCCAAATAGATAAGAGGCAAAAAGATCTTTTTAAGTAAGAACTTTTTAGGAAGTGAGGGGCGAATTAAATAAAAATAAAAAGTTCATTAAACATCCCCATCTTCTACAAAAGAGCTTTTCAAATAAGCCGAGGCAAATTGCCTCTTATATACTCTGAAACGAACTTTCTAAAAACCTGCTTGGCCCAACTTATGGCATAAACTCCAATAAGCTACAGGACAAACAAGCAGCTGTGATGTTACCATTTACACTATCCTTAATTGTGTAAACTGAAACCATTGTCTTATTATCTGAATTTCTGATGAACATTATAATTTTCCCAGCCAATGTCTTTCACCGAGACCTAAAACCAAAAAATATATTAGCAAATGCTGACTGCAAACTCAAGATCTGTGACTTTGGTCTTGCAAGAGTGGCCTTCAATGATGCCCCCACAGCTATATTTTGGACAGTATGTTTCTTCATGCATTAGTGTGGAATATATAATATATGTATTGCAGATCTTTGCCACCTCATTCTTAACCGCTGCTAATCTTCTGTAGGATTATGTTGCAACAAGATGGTACAGGGCTCCTGAATTGTGTGGATCCTTTTTCTCTAAGGTGGAAATATCGTTAGCCCCCTATCCTGGTTTTAGTCAGTAGTATTTGTTATGTGTTAAATGCCTTGTCTGGGAAATTGTAGCATACTAAAATCTGTCTACTGTTATTTGTCCTCAGTATACACCAGCTATTGATATATGGAGCATTGGGTGCATATTTGCAGAACTCTTAACTGGAAAACCTCTCTTTCCTGGGAAAAATGTTGTTCACCAATTGGATCTGATGACTGATTTATTGGGAACACCATCTCCTGAAGCCATTGCCAGGGTATATGGCTGTTATATTTTGTTCTTCATTTATATAGAGTTTTTGGTTGATTAAAAGTTGGTTTTGGTTTTGGTCCACTGCTCTGCAGATTAGAAATGAAAAAGCTCGAAGGTATTTGAGCAGCATGCGTAAAAAGAAGCCCATACCTTTCTCCTATAAGTTTCCAAATGCTGACCCCCTTGCACTATGCTTGCTGGAAAGGATGCTTGCTTTCGATCCAAAAGATAGACCTACTGCAGAAGAGGTAATGTAGGTGTAGGTGTGTTCTCTTGTTCAGTTTTTAGCAATCCAAATTTTAATGTGTCGCGTGCTTCTAGGCTCTTGCAGATCCATATTTCAGAAACTTGGCCAAAGTTGAGAGAGAGCCTTCTGCACATCCAGTTACAAAAATGGAATTTGAATTTGAACAGCGAAGGATAACAAAAGAGGATGTAAGAGATATAATCTACCGAGAGATTCTAGAATACCATCCAAAGATGTTGAAGGAGTACATAGAGGGGGCAGAGCCAACAGGTTTCATGTATCCTAGGTATTCTTATAAAAACTTATTTGAGATGTTTACCTTTTCAAATGCATTTTTCCCGTTTTTCTTTACGTACCCAAAAAAATATATAGCAAATTGATATGTTATGTATCCTCAACATCACACATCTTAATCATATGATGCTTCTAATAAATTTTTTCTTCCCACTCCTGATTAACTACAGTGCGGTTGACAAATTTAAGAAACAATTTGCATATCTTGAGGAGCACTATGGAAAAGGTGGAGGAGTTGTTGCCCCACCTGAGAGACAACAAGCCTCATCACTGCCAAGGTAGATCGAGTGCTTTTGTTTAGAATTCTCAGCTTCACCGTTTTGGTCAATATAATGTTCATGCCCCTAAATAAAGATTTGGATGCAGGCCATCTGTCTTGTATTCCAAAAATTGTGGCGGGCAAAATCCAGCAGACGTCACAAATGATTTCTCTAAATGTTCTATCAAAGAAGGTGGCAATTCGGGGATACCCATCACAACAATTCCTCTACAAGCTGTTCATGGTCTATTATTATCTGCTTTACTTTCAAGTTTTGTTTTTTTAATCTTTAATATTGTTGTTGCTTGGCTAGCCCCCTTGTGTTCTTAATTAGTTTCCAAATATAACTTGTTCAACCCAGGCCACCCTCAAAGCCAGGCTCTAAAATAAATAATAATTGGAACCTAAGAATGCTTTACCTCAAATTTGTTAGCTGCATATTATGATGAATAATCCACCTGTTTGTTAACTGTTACAAAATGCTATGCTAGCTGTCATATGAAGAAAAGAAAACAAATTGGAAAAGTAATCTGAGGAAGAAACTTTTGTCCTTACAATATATGTCATGGAATTGTGAAATTTGTATTCCAGGATTAATTAATTTGGAATTAATTTGAACTGAACAAGCTACTTTTTGTGTTCTTTAATCTAAATACTTCAATACAAGTTCTAGTACTCTAGTTGATGTGGGACTTTAAATATTCCTTATGTAATAATCAAATGAGATGCACACAAGCTACCTACCCTGTGTGCATTCGTGCAGTAGCTTTTGTGCATTTTCAAAGGATCTCACGGGAACAGGTGGATGCATTTGAATATATATATGTACAGCTCAATGAAAAGGCAATATTGTATGCAGGTGGTTCGGGCAGGCGTGGAAGGGTTGTTAGTTCAACAACCACGGGGCGTTATAACAGCTATACCGCAGCAGCAGATGCCACTGAGCAGCGAAGAATGGGTAGAAATATTCCACCACAATATGCTATTTCTAATGCTGCTTCATATCCTAGGAGACACCCCAATTGTAAAAGTAAAAATGATGGGGGAGAAGAAGATGGCGGCCATGAGATATCCAACGGTGTGCAGCCTAAACCAAGAAAAGTAGCTGCTGCAGCTCCTGGTGGATCTGGAAGCCAATGGTATTAAACAAACTTAATTGTCTGAATCTTAGAGCTGATGAAGAAGAAGAAGACGGGAAAATTAAGATGGTTTACTCAAATCACTTTCCACTTGTTTATTAATTACTCCATTATATATATACCTGACAAGTTGCAGGCTGGCTTGCAGAGAGCATTATATTAGGTGTGTATTAACACTGCCACCATAAACAAAACCCCACAATATGCATGGAAGTTTGGCAGTTGAACCAATTCTCTTTAGCTTCTTTATATCAAGCTAGAATGGGTTTTACATTCTCATCCATCACCATCACTGTTCTTCACCCAAGATCAAAGGGGAATTGAAGGCGTAAAGAACAGACACACAGAAGAAGCGCGCAGGAAACTCGAGTAAGGGTTGAAGTTAAATTATTATTTCCACCCTTTTTTGCCAAAACAGTTGTAAGCTATAACTAATAGTTTGGTTCTAGTTAAGACACCTGAATCATTGTTGCTGTAAGCCTACAGGCTTAATATTGGCCTCGGGGAGCTGTATCTTCCGAGTTAATACCCAATTTAATCCTTAACTATAATTGTTTTTTTTTTTTTTTTTTTTTTTAATTTAGTCTTAAATGTCTTTTTGTGCTTAATAAAATCATCAACTTTGATGTTTTTACCCAATTGAGTCCTTGGGCTGTTTGAATCAAAGATTAAATTGAGAAAAATCAAGACTAAATTGAGTAAAATCACAATAGTCGAAGACTAACTTGGATAACTACTAAAGTCGATGATCAAATTGGGTATTAATAGAGGTGAAATTACAAGTTATTTTAACATAGGATTCAACTAGGTAAAACTATCAAAGTTGAGGACTTAATTAGATAAAAAAAAAAAAAAACGTTTAGAACTAAATAAAAAAGGAAAAAGTGTTAAATTGGCCCCCTAAATCAAGTGGATAGTGCAATTGATCCCCTAAGTAAAAAAAGTTTAATTCAAATTCCCTAAATGGGTAAGTCCTTAAATTGATACGGTGTTGACACGTGTCCTTTTTATTTTAATTTTTAAAACAAATATATTTTATTTATTAAAAATTAAAAATATTATTTATTATTAATTAATTAAAATAATAATAATAATAATTTATAAAATAAAAAAATCAGAACAGTCATCGGTTGTCCGGCAGGACGGCCATGGCCTTCCTCTTTTGTCGGTCGTGGTCGTCCTACCAGACAGCCGATGGCTGTTTTTTATTATTATTATTATTATTAATTAAATTAATTTATTTATTTATAATAAATAATATTTTTAATTTTTAATAAATAAGAAACATTTGTTTTAAAAAATAAAATAAAAAGGACACATGTCAACACTGTATTGATTTAACCTGATAAACAAGTCAAATTGGACCTAATTGAACAATTTTACCGATTTAGGAAATTTGTATGGAGTTTTTTTCAACACGACATGTTGGTATGAAATGTGCCTATGTGATTTGTGAATAAAATTCAAATTTTCAAACGAAGTATGATTCATGATTTTCCTAAGTGTTTATTGAGTACCGTTGAGCATGAAAGTTGAGTACATGTTTTGGACTTGAGTTGAGATGAGTTGATTAAATGCCCTAGTTGCATTATCTAGTTCATGAGTATTGAGATTGGCATGATCATATGGTTTCATTTGCATTAACTTCTATTTCGTAAACTTTGGTACATAAAACCTATGTTTTCATATTAAAAGCTTTTGCACACTTTAGATGGCCTATATTATTGCCTTACGATATTTTTCAAAACCCGTATATGTATTTTGGAAACCTATATATACCTACATTATTTTGAAAGCTTGCATATCATTTTAATTGCCAACATGAAAAGGGAAGTTGTATGAGATATATGTATGCTATGTATATGAAGTGAGGAAAACTGTTGTTTTGGAGGCTCCCGTTTGGACTATGTCCTTTCGGATGAAAAGAGAAAAGATCGGTCAAGCACCAACAAATGAAGTAGCTTAGTAGAAAAATCCTGGGCTGCTAGGTTGGATACTACCCGTTGGGTTTGAAATCCCGGTTAGGTGGTGTGCACACTGAAAGTACGATACATGATTCCACAGAGAAAGAAAGATTAAGAACCTAGAGAAGTGGTTCTGTGGGCGAGATGAGTATTAGGACGACCCATGTTTGCTAGCCCGGATAGGTCCGTTCACGATTCGTGAAGTTCCTACCTCCCATGAGTTCGAAGTTCCTTAGGTGCGCAGATGTGGCGGTTGTGTGGGAAGCACCGTCGCTAGGGCTTCGCTGCGGCGGAGTACCTGCCTCATAGACGCAGTTTTGAAAGAAAGAAAAGAAAAGAGAAAGATTGAGAAAGACGAGAAAAGAGATTCACGAGATGTGAAAGAGGTCCTCCGCAGAAAAGTATTATATCTTTTATCGAGAGTATGAGTATCTATATACCTATACTATTGCATCTATCATATGACTTTACATACATTATTGCATAGTATATGATGTTGAGTATTTGAGAAGTGAAGCATGCTACATTGTTTGTACGTATTCGTATGATAGTATGATTCTTACTTGGTACTTATACCTCTAGCATATTGTTATCTTAGAAATGCTTTGATAGTGTGATGAGATAGAAAAGATTATGAATTCATTCTGGTGGGGTTGTGAGAGGAGGGAAAGAGGGGGAATAAGGTGAAGTAGAGTGATTTGTGTGTGCCAAAAAAGTTTGGGGGGATGGGATTCCGGAGAGTTCGTGAGATGAATTTAGTCATGTTGGGAAAGCAGGGATGAAATTTTCTTACTAGTATTGGTATAACGAGATGAATGGGCTCTATTCGGTTAGGAGTGGCTATAGATTAGCTACTGGCGAATTGGGGTATGAGGTGGAGGTGGTATGGAGGGGGCTATGGCACTTAAAAATCCCACCAAAAGTCAAATATTTTTTCTGGAATTTGTGTACTTTGCGGTTGCCCACCAGGGATGCTTTATTGGTTAAACGTGTTCCCTGTGATCCCGTTTGTGGGCTGTGTGGTAGAGCAAATGAGAGTATTGTTCATGTGTTCGCTAATTGTGAATTTGCTCATAAATGCTGGCTCGTTTTGAATGATCAGTGGTTGCTACGGTATGTGGGCTCTATTGATGAGTGGCTGGATGAGATGTGGCGCCTTCCATCAAAGGAGCTGCTGGAGCATGTTGTGATGGTAGCATGGGCAATCTGGGAGGCACGAAATAAAAAACTATAGCAGGGAATGGTCTCGGAACCGGCGAACTTGGTACATCACGCCATTATGTACGTGAATAGCTGGCGGCAGAACAATGGGATTGACATGCGTGGGATGCTCTCAACTGTGTCGGACCATCACACTATCCATGATGATTGTATGACCCCTGGAGATGTAAAGGTATGAATTGATGTAGCAATGGACCATGAGCATAACCGCATGGGATTTGGGTGGTGTGTTTTTGATTGGGATGGAAGGGTGATGGGGGTGGTTATGTTTGCCAAGTGTGGTCTGTATATGGTACATGAGGCTGAAGCGGTGAGAGCTAAGGAAGCTTTGAGTTGGATAAAGGGAAGGGGATGGGGGAGAGTGGTTTTGGAGACGGATGCACAGGTGGTGACACGAGCGGTAGCGGCGGACGCAAATATCTCACCTTTTGGTGCTATCATTCAAGAGGTCCGTGAGCTGCTTCATGAATTGCCTATGGTCACTTTCCGCTTCGTGCAGCGTCGGGACAATGGGATGGCTCATTTATTGGCTAAAAAAGCTCTTAGTTACATAGGGGAGGATAGACTTGAGTTCTTTGACTGTATTCCACGTTTTCTGAGTGGTTCCCTGTGTAACAGAATTTCTCGTTGATTTTATGGAAAAGTTTGGGTTTTCAAAAAAAAAAAAAAAAAAAAAAATGCGTTGATAGTGCATATGTTGTTGATTATACATGTTTATATTTATAGTATCCTTACTTGGGTTTATTGTTGGTTTATCCTAGTATCTATGTGGGTACTCGTTGTATTTGAATGTCAACTGTTTTTCCAAAACCTATATCTATAGTTATATTACAGGGTTGAGTGGTTTATACTTAGCATTTTATGCTAACGGGTTTATTTTCCTATGTGCTTTTATAACCGTTTTTAGGCAGGACCGTTCCAATAAAAATTGGGGTCCTGTGCAATATTTTAATTTGGGCCCCTTTTTCAATTAATTTTTATATATAAATAATAATTGTTCAAAAAGTTGTCTTCAAAAATTTAAAATATAAATATTGTATTAAAAAATACATCTAAAATTTCATTTAAAAAGTGACATGCGTCGTGCACATTTAGACGCAAAATCATCCACCAAGCTTTTGATATCAACTTCTTCTAAAAGAGAAAATTTCAATTTTGGTCCACTGACTATTGTAGTTGTGTTAATTGCAACACTTGACTATCAAAAATGTTAATTTAGTAACTTGACTATGCAATTTCCATCAATTTTGGTCACGTCGGCTAAATTACCGGTGAATTGTCACCGGAAAATCTTAAGTCAGCAGATGTACTAAATTGGAAGGGGCAAAATAGTCTTTTTCCATCCGCTACCGCCTGAGACCTCAGCCAAATTCTTCTCCGATCCTCATTTGATGTGAATCGCAGGAGTTTAAAATATTGGACGAGAATTGATGTCAAGAGAGATGAACCTCGGTTGAATCAAAAAGAGGAAAGCTGGTCACTTCTTGGCAAGCCCTTGGATTAAGCGCTATAGACCACACAGACATCATAGTGGAACATCTCAAAATCAATCTCAGCTTCCTTTGCGCCGAGATTCAATTGACAGCCTTGCAGGTAGCTAAAATTGTGAATCAGAAAGTTTTACATACCTAAGTCAGATGTACAAATGTTTCTTGATATACTTAATTAGAAATCCTTGCACTAATGGAAGACGAGCCCAATCTGACAGCGGCGCCACCGCCGATTCACATCAGATGAGGATCGGAGAAGAGTTTGGCTAAGGTCTTAGGTGGTAGTGGATCTGAAAAGACTATTTTGCCCCTTCTAATTTTAGTACATCTGTTGACTTAAGTTTTTCCGGTAACAATTCGTCGGTAATTTGGCCAGCGTGACCAAAATTGATAGAAATTGCATAGTCAATATACTAAATTAACATTTTTTATAGTCAAGTATTGCAATTAACACAACTCCAATAGTCAGTGGATCAAAATTGAAATTTTCTCTCTTCCAAAATGTCATTTTCAATAGAGATTAAAGCTAATCCATTCAGTCTCTCTTGCAACATACTTGATCGTAAGTATGATTTCAACAATTTCAACTTTGAAAAACTCCTTTCTGCAGAGGCAACAGTAATTGGGATAGTCAATAATATTCGATATGCAATAGAAGCATTTGGAAAACAACCCAACTGTTTCAATGAATTCAATATACTCACTGCTCCTATATTTTCTTTCGATAAAATCTCTCTAAGCAATTTTAGCTCAATATAGAATTCATTTCTGTCAATATCACCACATTGTTCATCTCTCTTAAGAGCTGCTTCTAAACAAATGCAACAAGATTTCAAATCCATATCAGCCATCGATTGTAACTTGTGAGAACTAAACAAAAAACCAAATGTTCCTTCATATACTTCATATTGCTCAAACCTCTGGGTCAATGAAATAATAGCTTGATCTACAATGTATAAAAAATAATGAACCCTAAAAGATTCTTCTGGAGATAGTGAAGTATCATCAGCACTCTCATCAAATTGTCTTTTTTCTACGAATTTTTCGCTTTTGAGGAAACACTGGCTCAATTTCTAATTCAGTGGCAATTTCCTTTGCAGTATCCATGGCAGTAGAAAAACCATTTTCTCTATAATTCTTAAAGAAAGAAACTAACCCTTTAATTTGATTAATAGCAACATCAAGAAGCATATCTTTTGTTTGTAATTGCTTGCTAACTAAATTAACCGCAGTTAAGATTTCAAACCAAATGACTGTGGCTAACAATAATTCAAAGTTACTAAGCTCATTTGTAGCTAAAGATCTTGCCTCACTTTGAATTTTAGAATCACCGTCTGTATCTTCCACTTGAAGTAAGGCTTCTCGAATATCACTGACTGGATATCTAATTGCTTTAACACTTTCCACACGACTTTCCCATCGAGTAGATGACAATGGCTTAAGAGTTAGATTTGTTACATTACTTTTCAAGATATGCCACCGTTTTGTTGAATTAGCAAATATTGTGTAAATTCGTTGCACTACTCCAAAGAAATCCCTTGCTTTGCCACAACTATTTGCAACGTCACACAAAGTCAAGTTAAGACTATCACTACCACAAGGAGTATAAAATGCTCTACGATTTATATCCAATAGTCTTTTTTGTACACCTTGATGTCTCTCTCTCATATTTGACCCATTGTCATAACCTTGTCCCCTTACATTATCTATATCAAGATCAAGTGATATCAACACATTTTGTAATACTTCAAAAAGAACTTGGTCAGTAGTGTCATTCACAACCAAGAATTCCAAGAAGAACTCATCTATTTTAATTGGATATGTTGAAATATCCACACATCTTAAAATCAAAGACATTTGTTCTTGGTGACTCACATCAGGATTACAATCTAATATCACTGAAAAATATTTTGCTTCTTTGATTTTTTTGATGACCTTTGTTTTAACTGCAGTAGCAAGCATAAGTATCAATTCATTTCGAATCTTAGGACCAAGATAATGATGATGAATATCACGATTTCTAGTACGTACAACATGCTCTTGAATGATAGGATCAAACTCAGCCAGCATTTCAATTAGACCCAAAAAATTCCGATTGTTATTCTCATACAACTTCCCACTTGTTCCACGAAATGCCAAGTTATTTTTAGCAAGATACTTCACAGCTGCAATAATCCTAAATAATACTTTCCTCCAATATTCTTTTTCTTTCAAAAGTTGTTCTTGAACCACTTTATCAATTGTCTCATTTTTTTTTGTAATCTAAGACGCAACTCCATCCAAGCTGTCATATTAGTTATATGATCTACACTCGTTTCATGCTCTTTAAGTATAACACCAAGATGTGTCCAGTCCCTAAAACCTTCATTGACCAAAACACCTTTTCCTATACTTTTTAAAAAAATCTTGCAACAAAAACAAAACACCTTGTCAAGTTCTTTTGAATATATAAGCCAATCTCGATCACACTTCTCTCCATTTGGCAAATATCTTGTGTAATATGCTGATGAAAATCTTCTATAGAATTTATCTTTAGGACCTTTATTTATTGATAAATCTCTTTTTGGACCATCTTTCACAAGAATATCTACTAATTTAGAATCAAGGGCATCCCAATTTCTTGGATCATATATGTCAAATAAAAGTGAATCATTTGGTTTATCACTGTGACCAACATCATCTAAACAACTATCAACATTCTTATTATTTTCATTGTCACAATGATACCTGTCATCGTTGTGCACATTATCATTTAAATTCTTTCCAATCTCACAATCATCTTGATCTTCTATATGAAGATTAGCATCTAACAATTTTTCCTTGACATCATCTTTTTGCTCATCTATTTGAGTTTTTTTTTTTTGTAATAAATTTTTCAAGAGCCCCCTTTTGAGATTGAGTTAGTTGTTCAATTCTTCTTTTCTTTTTACGTTTCTCAAACCCAGATGAATATTTTCTAGAAGACATAAAATCCTAAGGAAAAAATAAAAATTTATTTAGAAACTCTATGAATAAATAATTAATCAAAGAAACAAATTCTTGAATATATTATTCTGAAATCAGAATTATTAAGTCATGTAAATAAAACAATAAACAAGAATTGTAAAATAATACGTAATTTTAATTACCTATCAAGAGAATTGAAGAACTTGAGAGTTTGAGAATTGGAGAATCAGTATCACACGAGTAGAATTGTCGTCTTTCCCAAATTTGAATTACCTAATCTAGTTCAAATACACAAACATTCAAATTAAAAAAATTCAATATTTGAATTAATTCAAATACCTAGAATTCACAAATAGCATCCTCAAATTAAAAGAATAAAAGTTCAAATACCTAAGCTGCTAGGCAGTAAGCAATTTGTTGTAGTTTAGTCTATTGTGAGTCTCGTCTCTTCCGCGGTATTTCTTTCCGACTTTCTGTTTCTGTATTTTAGAATTTAGATTAGGCTAATATAGGTTATAGGTATTTCATATTTGTTAGGTGTGTATGTGGGCTTTGGTTTTTTTAAAGAAAGGTTCATCAACTTTGGGCTTTCTTTAAATTTTAGTCGGTTGAAGCCTAAAAGGCAAAATTTTGGGGGCTATGTGCGCCTGCCCTAGGTAGACTTGCCCAGGGACGGCCCTGTTTTTAAGTGGTCTTGATGCATGACGAGAGCTCGCTTGTTAGTTGTAGTGTGTAGCTCTAGGGATTAATTATTGTTAGCTCTAGTTATCCCTCTCTTTTTTATGTAGCTTGACTACTTTTGGTTTTGTTGGTGCTTGGACACCTGGAATTGCATGTCCCTTATGTTGATGTTTAGAGCTTTTGACTTTGGTTAGTTTTGTAGTTGTTTAGCATGTGCAGTTACTCGAGGGTGAGTAATTGTGGCGGTGACAGTCTCTTTTGGATGTTGAATTTGGATTTATATTTATCCTTTTAGTCCATTCTTTTCCGCTGTTTTCGCCTTTTTAGATTGTTAAATCTATGTTTTAAAGTTAAGAAAAAAGAGGGTGTTACATTCTCGATCTCCCCTGTTCGCCGGAAGAGCTTCGAGTGACGAGGGCTGGGTCCGATTGCTAGAAGCTTCTGCTAACCTCCGATCACCAAATTGAGGATGGGCATCACCATGAGCTGAGGATTATGGGTAAAATAGGAAATA